GCAATCTTCTATGGAGTATTACTTTCATGCATTATTCAAAATTAGTCAATTTTTACTGAGTTAACTGATCATTAATCTCTAATTATTTATGACAAATTTAAATGAAGTGACATATTAATGTTATAATTAACGATCATTAACCCCCACACACACAACGAATGCCTTAATAATGATCATTAGTGCATGGCGATTAATCACTCAATTATGCATATTATAGTGGAGCCTCTCCCTTTGGGGAACCCATTCGTGAGTGGAGAAGGAAAAAAACAAGAAAAAACATTTATTTTCCCTAAAGAAAGGATAAAACATTTTCTTGTTAAATTATTTAAGAGAGCTCTTGGTTTTACCAACCAAATATTCTGACGATTCCCTTCTATTTTCCAGTAGGCTACGCTCCGACGTTGTTTTTGTTTATTGGTGTGTGGTTGGTCTGTACAATCACCGCACACGATAGTGGTTTTATCCCAAGAGGAAAGTACCCATGACTGTGCTGCCCTTCTACGGTGTTTGGTTTTTGTAGATTTCGTTTGCAAGTTTTACATTCCAGTTCGTTGGTTTAGTCCCGTGCATAAAGTCTTCATCGTCGAGCAAGGGCTTTGAAGATCAGAAGTTATTTTTTATTTATTGTAATTAAATTCGAACAAATTATAAATTCAGATTTATTTTCTTACTCCGTATTTTTTATTTTTAGTGTATTCTGGGGCCGTTCATCTTGGCCGTCTGTTGTAATCCGTATGATCACTTTCCAACAGCTACTACATTGTAATTTAGTTCTTAGGGCTCAACAAAAAATATAATTCAAAAAAATTACTCCATATAAAACTAAAAAATACTCCCTCCGTTTGGAAAAACCCTTCCCATTTGATTTGGGGGCAAAAATAAAGATGTGTTAAATTATAGTTGATTTCCAATTTTGCCCCTGATGTGATGGGTAAAAGTAAGATGTGATGGATAGATTATTAGAGAAAAAGTATGATATGATAGGTAGGGTATGAAAAAGTAAGGGTAAAAGTGGTTTTTTAATAGAAAAGGGAAGTGTTTTGTTGGAAGTGGAAAAAAAGAAAGAGGAAATGTTTTTGAGAATGGAGGGAGTAGTATATTTTCCTGAATAGGACCAAGAATGTTTTATTGCTTTTATAACACATAATTTCATATGATCTGTCATGTATATCCTCATTAGCAATAAGTGTTAGATAATGATTGATAATATGAATAACTCTACGAATGTGGTCTTTAGCAACAAGTATTGGATAATGACTGATTATTTTAATGACTATTTAAATTGTTTTTAATAATATCTTATTCTACTTGAATTGTAGAATATGTCATTTTTCTCAAAGTCAAGATATTTAAGAACTTTTCATTATCAAACGTTAAAGTAGATATGACTGCTCATATTTATAGAAAAATGATATGTTTAAACTTTATTTGTGTAAATTATCCAAAATTCAAATTAAGTTTATGAATATTTTAATTTTTAATACTCGGTGCGATCAGTATCGTCTATAATGTGTGACTTAAATGTTGGAGGGACCAACCATAGATTAGTTTTGTTGATGGATTGTTTGATGATTGAAACAACTTTGTCTATAAATTCGATCAAGCTTCGATTTGCACCAATTCATCATGACATGGGTTACTTTGGCCAATTAATCACGATCCAATCTACAGGGACGACATTCATGACTTATCCGGTGTTCGAAATTTCGAATGAGAGCCCTTCAAAAGGAAAATTCAAACTCACTTTCATGCTGCTAAAATATTTTTATATTCTTTTAAAATATCCTTTTAGATACGGAGCATCAATTTTTGAATATTAACAATGGAAAATAATTTTGAGAGAAAAATTTTCTTCATACCAAACAATATAGAATTTGTTGAGAAAATAATTTTTATTCAAAATCATTTTTTCTTGAAAAATAATTGTTTGAGAAATATTTTTCTCCCAACCAGTTACAAACTGATACTCCCTCAGCTCTGTCCCTAAAACCATTTCTTCTTTCTTTTTTCACCCATCCCAAAAAACTTTTTTTATTACTATGAAAAAGTCATTTTTACCTCTACTAATTCTTAATCTACTTATCACGTCACATCTATTCAAGATTAATTACACATCAAATCTTACTTTTACCAATCATATCTGTAGAAAATATTATTAGATCTAAACTTGAATCAATTGATTACACATAGATCCGCTATTTATAATAGCTACAAGACCACAACCTAATTACGAGCCCAACAACAATGAGCCCGTTAACGACAAACCCTACTACATTCCTTAACACTCCCCCTCAAGTTGAGCATGAGGTTAACGAATGCACAACTTGGACAATTAAAAAAACTAGGACTAAAAAAAACTTGATAAACAATTTGAACTTGATCTGTTGTGACAACTACGAACGAAGGTGATCGGCCCTGCAAACGAACAATAAATTTTGATGACGAATGACTCCCACGCGGTGACACGGGGACGACTAACAAGCATCCCAAACTTGGAGGCTGTGTTGTCGGACTGAGGCGCGACTATGTGACCAACCTCACAAACAGATATGTCGAACTGAGGCGCGACTAAGCGACCAACCTCACAAACAAACATGCCGAACATACAGCTGGTTGCACTTGAATGTACCGAATAGCAACCAAAAACAATGTCATCAAAACGTCGATCAAAAGGTGCATGAAATGCTGATCATGAAAACCTTCTTCCTAGAAGAAAGCAAACCAAACCAATCCACTCATGCTAGCAGAACATACTCATACTGCTGAATGGAAGGGCACTTCTCAAACAAAAGAACAATACCAACAAATGAGTTTGCTGCTTAAAAACAACAATTGATGAAATCATTAGTTGTTGCTGCCTGTTGGTGCATACGGAGTATCTGTAATAACCTTGACCACTTTTAACTCGGCGGCCAAAACTAGGACGTGAATGACATGGATAATAACCCTGGGCGTCGAAAATATGCAAAGAGTAGGGTAGCGTAGATCTGGACAATTACTCCTCGATCGGAAGAACAGATCGAAACCTTTATCGTCAAGAACAGAAGTACAATGATTGGTAATGGAAATCGATGGTGATGCCGCCGTCGCCGGAAAAGGCACGGCGACGGCGGCAGAAGCGAAAGCTACAGACTAGAGCAAACTTAGGGTTTTAGTTTTCTCAAGATTTGGCTTTGATACCATGTAGAAAATATTATTAGATCTAAACTTGAATCAATTGATTACACATAGATCCGCTATTTATAATAGCTACAAGACCACGACCTAATTACGAGCCCAACAACAATGAGCCCGTTAACGACAAACCCTACTACATTCCTTAACAATATCAAAGAAATTTTTAAAAACTCAACACCAAAATACACTCTCCTTAAATTCCTTAAAAATCAAAATCTCCCAGAGACGGAGGGTGTAGATTTTAACGCACCAACTAAGGAATGAAGCACGAAGAACCATACTAGTAAGGAAATAAGAATTCTCGGAAAATCTTCTCTCTCTATTTCTT